ACCCCATTCTGCTTCCCATTGGCCTCGACGGTGTTTTCCTCGCGCCTCTCGAAGTAAACGTAGATGGTATAGGTGATACAGGACGTCTAGGCGAATATCTTTCTGGGGCTCTCCCTTCAAACCATTGCTCGCTGCTCGACGTTATGACAATCATGACACCTTGGTTGCTTTCTACAAGTTTCCGTACTGCAGTCCACGCAATTTCCAGTCCCAAGCTATTGAAAGCTGCAACGCTGATTAAGCCCCGAGTATTGAGATCTGTTAAAGCCTAGGCACTTTGAGAGAGAGCTCCTATTTTCTCCTTTGAGGATGAAGATGACTTCTCGAGCTACTGACATTGAGGCCCTGAAAGCCCTCATCTTCTGCAATCGATTCGCTCTCAAGAATTCGTGGGGCATTGTACCGAATAAACTGTAAAGCAGGTGATGTTATGTTCAACACTTGTGAGAAACTTTAACATATGACTTTGTATTCCGTAGAGCTAGCCATATTGGACAATATCTCCGATGCATGAGCATACTCCAAGACATCGATTGCACCCCTTGAGACCACTTCTTGTCAACCAACTGCGTTGAATGCAGGCATGTCACCGATTCGGAGAATGTGGCACCTGTAAAATCAACAAATGAAGGTCGATTTCCTTGAAGATGGGCAGAAACATAGGTGTCTCGCCAGCGCGAGTGTATGCTGGTTTACATCGTCGAAAACGTCTTGTGGCTATTGATACGGACTCTCGTTTATTCCAGCTGATTTAGAAAAGACTGGATATATATCCATCTACTATCATCATCTCGGCTACTCCTTCGAAAACCCTCCTCTGTCGAGTTGCTGTAATGTTATAGCATAAGTATACTTGCCAGCGTGTCATACAATTGAAGCACTAGAAGCGACCGGGCAACTGATGGGTGCATACATCCGTGCGGAAACGTAGGTAGTGCAGGGTTTGTACTTCAGATCTAGTTCATAGGCAATGTGCTTGTATTACAGCGTTAGAATGCCCTGAGAGTCACATCTTGCCACGTATAAAGCTATCCAGAAGGCGAACTCGTACCATGATGATAGGAACAAATTCGCAACAATCATGCCGAAATATTTCTCTTCGAAATTGATCTGTTGTTACGCGAGCCAAATCATGTTGTTTCATTCAGGACGCTTCTTTGAAGGAGGTGCCAAAAGCACGGCACGACGAACCCGCAACTCTTGATTTGAGCCTTCTTTAGCCTCTTGTTGCAGCTGAGGTTAAGGTTTCGTTCAAAGTCTGGCACTCGCGATTAATGCGACCTGGGAATTTAACTTGAAGGATCAACCAACGCAACATCTAACAAGCGTTTGACCCAATGGTATTGCGGGCAGATGGAGGTTGACACTGAGAGTGATCTATCTGCGTACTTCTGTGGAGCCGTGTATGTCTTGTCAGGGTTTCGAATTTTCTCAGAAATGTTGGTTTCTTTTCTAGATTGAAAGGAAGCAAAGAGTGCCGTGATGTTATATAAAGCCCTCGTTGCTGGCAAGGTGCTGCAAAACGGGATCTTCACCTACTGATTGTCAATTCACTTGTGCGTTGTATTTACTGACACCCCTTTCGCCTCGCTAACAACCCTAGAGAAAATTTCCACCAGAAGTTCATATAGCGGTAAGATTTTGTCATTGAAGGCGAGTGAAATGATCACAGGCTCGCCTGGGGGGTCGATCAACTTTACAATCCATGGTCTGCACCGCTCGGATCTCAGGGGACTAAGACAATAAGCATTGGCGGCTTCAAGAATTTCTGCGATCGTGGGGTAGAGTTGACTATTTGAAGATCAAGAAGTGGCACCTACAGGCAAATGATTTTGATCAACACAGGCGACTCTGGTAGTGAATAGTGGAGGAGAGAGGCCTTCCTCACTCGGGGATATTTTCTACGCGTGACTGTAGATTTGCCAAAGGGCCGAGAGGATGTTCCCCATCGCAGGAAAATCGGTAAATAAACCGTACTGAAGATGCCGTACCACATGGAATTTGGCCGACGTAGCTTTCATTTTCGTTGGAACTCCGTTATAACTGTACGTCGAGTAGGTAACCTGAACACCGTTCTTGCTGACAGTATTGGTACCATTGTACTGGAAAACTGACTGTCCGATTTAACATAGAATGAATCAAATTGACGTGTTTACTCCCGACAACAAACTGGACAACTTCGCAGGCAAACTGTACGAGAATTCGACGACACTGGCGGAAAGATTATATGCAAAAGCCCCATATTTTATTGGAACTTGCAATCGTAAATCTATGAAACCCGCTTGAAGATGTTTGTTATTATTTGATCGATGAACATGTTCTGCTTGCTAGGCTGCTCGGCCTAAGACTGGATCATAATCTTGGGGAGAAGGCATCTTCATTCGGCATTATTTCTTGGACTCCGATGCCAGGGTCTCATCTGACACGATGCTGGACCCTTACAAATAAATCACGCGATTAGAAACAAGCGGACCAATGTGGTTCAAGAATTTTGACGACTTGTTCGTCAAAGGGTCGGTCAACACTAGATCGACATGTCTACACCTGAACCCTGTTGTATGGCTTTGCAGGAAGCTTGATAGCAATGGTAGCCGAAGTTGGTGATAGTTGTGATTTGAAGATCAGATATAATAACTGCAGCGGACACGTTCACATTGAAACTTGTCATGTGATAACTGCAACTCTGATGGATCAATGTTTACCGCTCTATCATTCCAGATTGATAGAACCGTTCTTTGTATAAATTCAATATCTAATCGAGGCCCGCAGGACTCGATACCAAGGGATCAGTGACGTAGATGGTATCCACCGCGAGTCAAGCGGGCCCGCCAAAGCTGTTGACATTAAGACAGCGATAGGCCAAAGACGAAATGACTGCGAACCTGAATTTACCCTGGATGACTGATTGTGTGAGTGGAACTGGAAGATGAAAAGGTACTTGATGAGTACATTGAACTCTCTTCTCTTCCCCAGACTCGTTCATCGCTGGGGGCTACTTAGTTTGTGGAGAGAACATCCTCGTGAACACTGATTTCGTGGGGAAACGAGGATAGATTTGGGGTGACCGCTTTTAATTTTGGACCTTTTGTTGATCTCGGTTGTAGAATGTGGTTGCTGCGAAGACAAGACTCATGACTGGAACATGGTGTAACAAGCAACAGTAGACTATAGCAAACTTTTAGTGAATAGAGATGACGGCAGATTAGTACACATAACCCGCGTGAACTCCATCTCTTGTCAGGAGGGAAATACTGGAAGCTGCATATTCCCAGATGACAGTCGCTCAGTTTCAACTGAACGGGAAACCAGACATGTGACTGACCATATTTGCACAGCCTTGACAGCGATAACGAGTCAGATCCAGGAGTGCCAGGTAGCAGCGCTTCATCTGACTTGTCTCAGCTGAAGATAGATCTTCAAGGTGGCATTGTCCTTGGGTTTTATGTACAGAGTAACAAACAGAAGCATTGATGGATTCTATATGAATTGATCAGCTAAACACATGTGACCCCCACCTTTGCGTTCCAACGTCTTGGTGCTGTGGCTCTCTGTCGCGTCCACTCTGGCACCCCACACTCACGATAGTAAGTAACTAAAGTGACTGACGACGGGAAGCTTGCCCCGAGCGCCCATTGCAAAACCGTGGAGACGTGCCCGCTTCAAGTCCGTCAGCGTGGAGTCTAGGGGCTTTCTTATCGGGTTGGCGAGACTGGGGGCATGTGAAATATTTATGAGATGACGACAAGGCCAAAGACAGATGAATACGCCCGTTAAAATTCAGAGTTTGAGACTATGGGAAATGGGCGGAATTACCCCCCTGAGAAAACGGCGCAAATGCAAAACGAAGAGAGTCAATTGACTGATGATCATGCAAGAGCAAGATTAAGGCAGATTAGGTATACAGGGCAGATTCGCTAATACGTGAGATAGAGTAATAGATCAGATACCTTAGTACAGTGCCTGCCTGTAGGTACTCGATCATGGATGCACCAATTTGACTCGACTCTATCCGTACCTGCCCTGACCTCCTGAAAGCCATCCCCTGAGAAGTGACTTCCCGTACATACTATTTTCCAGAAGCCGTTCCTTCCCCTTGCCTCGTCTCGCCATGGAGTTCTAGTTGTCGACTTGTCCAGTTCAATTCTGCTGCCCTTCATCTCTTACCAATTTCCTTCGATTCTCCTTCTCTATCTTCAACATTCGTCAACAATCCACTCTTGTTGCGCTGTTTTCCTCACCCTCAAGTCGATCATTTTGTCCGCGTCGGCTGTCCAGTCCAGTTCATGATCGCTGCCCCTGCCGTTGTCTCGCCTGACTTTTTATCAGGATTTGTCACTTGTTGCATCTACTGTCCGTCGGCTTGAGCTCCTGTCTCAATCGTGGTCATCTGCCTACCGTCTGCCGTTACAACCCCAGTTCCGGGTCCAGGCCCAGCTCTAACCACGCGCTGCCCTACAGCCTTTTCCCAGTCGCGACTCCGTCTTAGACAGACAGAATTGTCTGACTGGTTTGCTTTGAAGATCGCTTGTTAATTTAGCAAAGCGTCTGTCGCAAGCGTGTCGTTTCCAGAAATACCTGTCATTACTCCGCGTAATCCGCCCGTACCGCGGCACACGCATTGTATTTGTCGTGTCTTGCTTGGCTCTCGGATTGCAAGTCACTCCAAAGTACATGATCCCCAATTACACGCTGCTGAGTGACGCACTTTGAGCTACCGCCAACCAGGGGTCCCAACAAGGCCTGCATACAGCGTCTCTCTCAACTGACCAGGAACCCACACGCCCAATCGAACCCGCGCTTCTGTCAGGTATCACTATCTTTTGCTGGGTAGCTTAGGTGTTTTTGCCTGTTTACCAGCCAGATTTTATTCACCCTTTGCCGATTAAATCCTGCAATAGACGCCGATAGACCCTGATACCGGTACCGTACGGCCACCCCCGGTCACCCGACCCCATCTTTCCCATTCCCCTCCGTCTTTCGCTGGGCCGTTCGAGGTGCCGATGACCTCGTTGTTTCTCGGCCTTTCCTTTTCTCTTCCTGTACCCTTTACCTTCATTCTCTTTGCAGAAGGGCGCTGCTGCTTAACAGCCCCATCTTCCCAAAATTCCTCCCTCACGATCTTCACGTCTTCCCTCAAACATTCCACTGCGGACCCTACGTCCTGATAATCACCAACACCAAGACCCGGACTCGCAAGCGACGTCATTGCTCGCGTCCCGCAGCGACCACGATCGTGAATACGACGACGATAGCGACGATACTAACCCCAACCACCATCACGACGTCGCCAAACCTAAACGTCGCCCGTCTTATTCCGGCTCCGAGTCGTCGTGGACCGACACCGGTGATATCGGCGAGCAGCTCGCTGACGAGCACGACCCTGTTCGTCTGCAGCTTGGTTCCGATATAGAGGACGAGCTTCTAGCAAACGTCCACCGTCGACAACCCAAGCACGGGAATCAAAAGAGAGTTCGAATCCAAGACTCAAATTCTCACCACCGTTCTTCTCGGTCCCGATCTGCCCTTATCAATAAGGAGGCTATCGAGGTCCCCAACTTTAACCCTCCAGGCCCTTCCCGTGTCGAACGTATACTCGGTACCATCATGGCAGGACGCACAGGATCCATCCATGGCCTCACAGGCAAGGCCTTGATGTAAGAATTCTTGAACCTGGTCATCTTGTCCAGTCGCGTGCTAACATGATCAAGCTACTTCACCAGTATCTTTGTTTCACTAGGTGTTTTCCTTTTCGGATACGATCAGGGTGTCATGTCTGGAATCATCACGTAGGTCTCTATAATAGAAATATCTTTTCATATAGTCGACTAATCATTCTCTAGCGGTCCATACTTTATGGACTATTTCGGCCACCCCTCAAAAGCCTATGTTGGTACTATGGTGGCAATCCTGGAGATTGGCGCATTCATCACTTCCTTGATGGTCGGTCGCATTGGAGATATTATCGGACGACGACGGACTATTTTTTACGGTTCATGCGTCTTTTTCATTGGAGGTGCACTCCAGACACTGGCTACTTCCATGCCTATGATGATGGCTGGCCGTTTCATTGCTGGTTTCGGCGTTGGCGCGCTCTCGACTATTGTGCCCGTTTACCAGTCTGAGATTTCGCCTCCTCACAATCGAGGAAAGCTGGCTTGCATCGAGTTCACAGGAAACATCGTTGGCTACGCCACATCTGTCTGGGTTGACTACGGCTGCGGCTACATCGAGAGCGACTATTCCTGGCGCATTCCTCTCGGACTGCAATGTGTTATGGGAGCCCTCCTCGGTCTGGGCAGTCTTGTCATTGTTGAGTCCCCTCGGTATGCCAATTACATTTCCAACATCACTAGAAGCAGCTCGCTAATTTTCGCAGATGGCTTTTGGATAACGACCATGACGAAGAGGGTATGGTTGTCATTGCCAACTTGTACGGCGGCGGCGACATTCACGACCCGAAGGCTCGAGATGAATACCGCGAGATCAAGATGAATGTCCTTCTCCAGCGACAAGAAGGCGAGCGCACATACAAGGACATGTTCCGCCGATATAAGACTCGCGTTTTCATCGCTATGTCTGCTCAAGCGCTCGCCCAACTCAACGGTATCAACGTTATTTCTTACTACGCGCCTTATGTTTTTGAGTCCGCCGGCTGGGTTGGCCATGATGCCGTTCTCATGACTGGTTTCAACAGTCTCACCTATCTCATGTCGACAATTCCACCATGGTACCTGGTTGATCGCTGGGGACGACGCAAGATTCTTCTTTCTGGCGCCACGGCCATGGCTATCTCACTATCGCTCATCTCTTACTTCCTATTCCTCGATATCAAGTGGACTCCACGATTGGTCGTTTTGTTTGTTATGATCTACAACGCTGCTTTTGGCTACTCATGGGGACCTATCCCATGGTTGTACCCACCTGAGATTCTCCCTCTCAGCATTCGATCCAAGGGTGCCAGTTTGTCGACAGCAACAAACTGGGCCGCCAACTGGCTGGTAGGAGAAATGACACCAATTCTTCAGGAATGGATCAAGTGGCGCATGTACCTTGTTCATGCTTTCTTTTGTGTAGTTAGTGTGGTTGTTGGTAAGTTGCCTTGTTTAACATATGCTGATAGTATCACTGACACCTCAATAGTCTACTTTATTTACCCCGAGACTTGTGGTGTCCGCCTGGAAGACATGGATTCGCTCTTCGGAGATGCCAGTACTGTTGCTGGCACACCCTCGTTACACGGCACTGAAACCGGTTCCTTGATGAGGGGCGGATCTCCTGTCGGATCGTCTCGTGGACTTATCGGACCCTCATCTGCCATCCCTGGCCTTTCTCTGGATCCTCCTACTATCGACGATGACAGTAAATCTCAGATGCAGAGTGGTGGTGATGAACGGGGCGTCGGCGGGTGGTTTTCAAGAGTTGTCGGTCGAAACCGATCCGATAGCGGTAGCAGCGCGCAAGGTCGTTATGCTCCCCTTGGCCAACAGGAAGAAGGTCGTCGTGACGACCGTTGATGAAGTTCTTGAAGTCAGTTGATAGACGAATATCTGCATATAGATGGCGCACAAGACGCCGGATGTGTTAACATCTGGATAAGGACGGCGAAATGACGCCCCGGAAGGAAGTGGTGTTACTTGAAGGGAAAGAATTCGCTGATTACGTTGGAGCAAGGAAGGCATTTACGACTTGAGGTGATATTAAGTTTTAGACGAGGATTGTTGCATTTCTTTTGATATCTATGGACCGATAAATTTCTAGACCGGATCCTCATGGAGTTAGACGGCTAACGCCATGGCCTATATACCACACATAATGAGAGAGCGGTTGAATCACCAACAAGGAAACTTCCCATTCGATCGAAATGACTGTTTTAGTGCGTTTTGTTTGTATGTTCAAGGCGTTGTATTTGGTTTCCACCGTCAAGTTGAAGTCAACTTAGCTAGTAGACATTTATTTGTCCAGTGAAAGTGGGTCTGTCTACCTTGTGCAACTTCTTACCATCACCAATTGCCAATATTCAACCTCTCATGTACTAAGACCAGATTCGATCATAATGACGAGCACAACTCAAATACCACACGCATACCGTAGCCTGTATCGAAACCTCCTAAAAGCAGTACAATATTCATCCCCTGCTCGTTTCGTGGCACGCGATCAGCTTAGAAGAGCCTTTCGCGAGCCCGGTGCCACCTACGATGAGAGAGGCATCAAGCGAACCAACTGGTTTCTGGAGGCTGCAGCCAGGGAGAAGGGAATGGAGCACAGGATTCTGAAAAACTTGCTGCGAGTTCAGCATATGAGATTTCGGAAGAGGGGATACTCATCCTATGATCCGCTAAAATATACAGAGTGAGTTTTAATGGCTAAGTTTTAGAATGAGACGTGCTGATGAAATGGATGAAGTTATGAAATGAAAGTGGCGAAGGCTACAGCGTACAATCACTATGATATGACGGTCGCTATGCTCAATAAGAGTATGGGAACGTTGTTGCGCTGAGTCTGATGAATTCTTGAGTTTGGGCGCAGGATCGGTAAAATTCTTATTATACAGGCACCGAGCAAAGCGGATCACAAGGGCTTATGTCGCATGTTTAGGTAGCCGACTTGACAGATGTCATTTGAATACAATCTGAGATGGGCATTCTCAGTCCCGCAGATAAAGGTCCGTATCGATAGTACATGTATAATACATTGGAAGTAAACTCATTCCTTAACAGGCTAACCCAAGCCTTTCAACGCCTTAACAAATATGATGCTGCATCCTTGTCTCCTGTCATTTTCATCTTCATTCATGCTTAATGGGCTTCTTATCGAAGTTCAGGAGGAAGCTCTACTCCTCGCCTGGAATAGCGATATCGACACCAAGTTCCTCGAGGATAACCTGACTCAAGCTAGAGCCGTCTCTGGTGTAGATCCAGTCGCCCATAGCCGTGCCCTCCTTCTGGTCCTGGCCCTCACCGAGAAGGCACCAGTCGTAGCGCTTGGGACCTGAGATGGGGGATGACAGCCAAATCTGCTTGTTGGGAGGCTGTTTGTTGATGACATATGTGCCATTCTCGGGCCAGTCGATGGTGAGGACTCCGGCCTGCGTACGAGATTGTTAGTTAGTGCATCATGGAAGCAATTATGAAGCTATATGTACCGAAAATTCGACATCAATATCCTCACGCTGATCCTGAAGCTCCTCAAATCGGTTAACAATATTGTCGAGGTACTCATCGGCAATTTCATGGTACTCTTGCTCGGTGATCTCGGCGACAGCAGCACTTGGCTCAGCTTGCTCAGTTTCTGTCAAAGGCTTGGCTGGATCCTCGGTGTCAGGCATGATACCCTTCTTGCGGGACATGGTAGTAGAGAAATTGCGTTGAGAAAGGTTTGGGTAGATGGCGAGACGTGAAGCATAAGTCATAGTTGCAACACGGAAGCTGGAGCGGCAGACTGGTGTCGACGAGCGGATGGCTTGCGAAGCCATACGGGAAGCCTGAGATGCGATTTGTCGAGACATTTTGAAATTCGATCGATGAGATCAGAAGGTGTTATTTCGGTAGTGCGAGTCAAGGACCGATGAAATAGTCTTGGTTTAAGCTCAGAAATGTATTTGATTTTATGGTTTTGGTCAATCGCTCTTATTCAGAGTGTTGATGATCAAAAGTTGCATGCAAAGGAGCAAGCTCCCCGCGGTTCTCTATGAGGTGCAGCAACAAGTGGCCAATCACGCCGCGGTTTGCGGTAAAGAAAGTACGTATCTCAGGGCAGCTTTCGCATCCCGTCATCAGCTCCGCGCCGTCTTCCGCCCAAGCAAGCCCCACCATCGACCGCTTCAACCCAAAGGTGCTTTACAGTACCACGATACCCACACCTCATCTACAACCAGCCAAGGTATTCTTTTCAAGGCATGAAAAGCCTTGGTCCTCAATCATGATCAGCGCATTTCTGGTCTTCAATGGCCAAGGTCAGCCCCGTCTGACCAAGTTCTACACTCAGCTGGTATGTTATCCTCTTCCCTCATGTTATCCTAAACTCATCATGCGCCCTGGCAGGAAACGAGCATACAACAGCGCCTCATATCCGAAATCTTTACCCTCGTATCGAACCGACCAGCTGGATCTTGCAACTTCCTACCTCTCCCTCCTATGCTTGCCGCTTCCGGCACCTCTCACACTTCCTCGGAGGAGCAGAACGATGTCCCTACACTCGTGACATACCGCAACTATGCGACTCTTTACTTTATTGTTATTTCCACCTCGACCGAATCGCCTCTGGCACTGATAGACCTCATTCAAGTCTACGTGGAGGCCCTCGATAAGCTCTTTGAGAACGTCTGTGAGCTGGACCTGATATTCAACTTCGAAACTCTACATTCTACACTATCGGAGATGATAATAGGAGGTGTCGTTATAGAGACAAATTTGGATCGCATTGTCTCGGGTGTCAAAGCGCAGGGAACAGTTGCAAAGAGACCCGTCAATGAAGGTAGAGGGCCTACTGGTCTGGGAAGTGGACTTGGAATGGGCGCCAACTTCGCTTGGACCGGACGATAATGATCATGACAAAATGAGTGGAATAAAGGTATGCCAGAGTCGGGTACAAGATGTACCCGCTCACAGAGGTATCTGTACATTTATGCCTCCACGAGAGTAACGCCAAACTCCGAGACTTGAATATTACAAACATAGAATACACTATTTCGACTCGGGCTCGTCTTTCGGGGGAGCAAAAGGTGGCGCATCCGCTCGTCGTTCGTATCGCTTTTCGGGATCGACGGTACCAAAGAGATATTGCGTCTTTCGTCGAATCTTGGATTAGGTTAGCGATGCTCGATTTAAATCGACTAAAAATGCGAACCTCTTCAGAAGGCTTGTACTTCTGACCCCACCATTCGAACTCGGAGTAGAAGAAGAGCCAGACCAGGGCAGCTAAGAGCTGGGTTAGTCGATGTGTAGAACAACGTCATTAAGGATTTTACATACCAACAATCGTCAAGAGCTGAGCAGTCTTGACAAACTTGATCCACCGAGGTGCTCGACTTGCCAGTATAATGCGACGCTTGTACTTCTTCTCGAATCGTAATTGTTGCTGGACGGTGAGCTGCTTGAAGTTGGGAGGCCACACTTTTCGCGCCTTGTGAGGGTTGTTGGCGACCGTCAGAGGAGCCCTCTTGAGAAGGTTATCCTTTGACGATGAGGCCATACGTCGGACCAGAGTCGAGAACATTGCGACTAAATTGTTGTGGTCTCGGTAGTCGAATGGCTTGAAGATCCGATATCGAGCTTCGTATGATGGCGTCGCAGTTGGAGATTCTCCAATAGGAGCGCCACAATACCGCCACAACATAGCCACAGTTTCCACGCGGGCAGGAACCTCTTCTAAGCTGGGCAGGGGGACAGAATACACAAGTATGAATTCAGTACAAGTCAGTATCGATATTTTTTGCACTCTTGACGCACTTGCCCCGCGATTTTCACCCCTCCTTCTTGTCAGCCCGATTTCAATTCCTTACAAAGGTGTGACTCAAAAACTTCTAGTGAGATTTCGAGGTGTGTGTGCCTATTTTCGTCCCAAAATGCCTCTATGATATATAGGAAAACAAACTGACCTGAAGCTATTTCTTTTTTCCACAGGTCTTGTCTATTTGCGAACATGGCTTCCACCGATGCCGTTCCCAAGGCCATGGAGTCTCTCCACATCTCCAAGACCAAGGAACTCAAAGGTGTAAGTTCGACTCGCTACGATTTTCATGAAATACTCATCCTAGCTGTTCATAGACCGAGAAGCGAGATACCCTTGTTGCCATTGAGAAGAAATACCAAAAAATTTGGGAGGACCAACATGTCTTCGAAGCCGACTCTCCCAGCACCAGCGAGGTGCCCCTTCATTCCGTGTCCGCCGCTGAGCTTCGGGAACAGCAGCCCAAGTTCTTTGGATGCATGGCCTATCCTTATATGAACGGAACTCTGCACGCTGGTCACTCTTTTTCCGTCAGTAAGGTCGAGTTTGCCGCTGGTGTTGCCCGCATGCAGGGCAAGCGCACTCTCTTCCCTATGGGTTTCCACTGCACCGGTATGCCAATCAAGGCTTGTGCCGACAAGCTCGTCAACGAGGTCAAGAAGTTCGGCCAAGACTTCGCAGGCTACAAGGAGGAGGAGGATGTTGTCGAGGAGGCCCCCAAGGTCCAGGCTAAGGAAGATATCACCAAGTTCAAGGCGACCAAGGGAAAGGCTGCGGCCAAGACCGTAAAGATGAAGTGCGCTTCTTTCTATGGATTGCTCGAAACTATGTTGACCGCTTTGACAGGTACCAGTTCCAAATCATGCAAGCCATTGGTATTCCTACCGAGGAGATTCACAAATTTGCCGACCCTCAGCACTGGCTCCAACACTTCCCTCCCCTGTGTCGGGAAGATCTCACCAACTTTGGATGCCGTATCGACTGGCGCCGATCCTTTGTCACCACCGATGCCAACCCTTACTATGACGCCTTTGTTCGATGGCAGATGAACCGTCTTAAGGAACTGAACAAGATTAAGTTCGGCAAGCGATACACTATCTATTCTATCAAGGATGGCCAGCCCTGCATGGACCACGACCGATCTGACGGAGAAGGTGCCGGCCCACAGGAGTATACCGCTCTGAAGCTCAAGGTTCTCGAGTGGGCCCCCAAGGCCGCTGAGACCCTCAAGGGTAAGCTGCCCGAGCAAGCAAAGGTGTACTGCGTTCCTGCTACGCTGCGTCCGGAAACGATGTATGGCCAAACTTGCTGTTTTGTAGGACCCAAGATTACCTACGGCATCTTTAAGGTCAACGAGACCGACTACTATGTCATGACGGAACGGGCTGCGAGAAACATGGCTTACCAGGGCATCTTTGCTACCGAAGGAGTTATCGAGAAGACGGCTGAGGTTGGTGGCGCTGATCTTGTAGGCACCCTGGTTGATGCTCCCCTGTCCCTTCACAAGGAAGGAGTTCGCATTCTGCCTATGGAAACTGTCCTTCCTACCAAGGGCACTGGTGTTGTCACCTCGGTGCCTTCTGACAGTCCTGATGATTACGCTACCGTGACCGATCTGGCCAAGAAGGCCGACTACTACGGCATCACAAAGGAGTGGGCTGAACTCGAGATCTTCCCCATCATTGAGACACCCAGCTATGGTGATCTTTGCGCCCCCTTCCTGGTCAAGAAGCTCAAGATTGCTTCTCCCAAGGACACAAAGCAGCTTGAAGAGGCTAAGGAGCTGGCTTACAAGGAGGGTTTCTACCAAGGTATTCTCAAGGTCGGCGAGTTCAAGGGCGAGAAGGTCGAGGTCGCCAAGCCTAAGGTTCGACAACAAATGATCGATGCCGGCCAGGCCTTCGCCTACTCTGAGCCTGAGCGCAAGGTCACCAGCCGATCTGGCGATGACTGCATTGTCTCTCTGATGGACCAGTGGTACCTGGACTACGGTGAGGAGTCGTGGAAGAAGACCACTCTCGACTGGGTCGAGAACGGCTTGAACACTTACACAGCGGAGACCAAGAACCAATTCGAGGGAGTCCTGAACTGGCTGAACCAGTGGGCTTGCGCCCGAAGCTTCGGTCTTGGTTCCAAGTTGCCCTGGGACCCCCAATTTTTGGTTGAGAGTCTGAGTGATTCAACCATCTACATGGCCTACTACACTATCGCTCACTACCTGCACAATGACATTTTCGGAAAGACGAAGGGCTTGGCAAATATCGGACCTGAGGCTATGACGGATGAAGTCTGGGACTACGTCTTCTGCCGCGGAGAGCTGACTGATGAGGTCCTCAACAGCAAGATCCCTAAGGAGACTCTCGAGAAGATGCGCCGCGAGTTCGAGTACTTTTATCCCCTCGACGTGCGAGTGTCGGGCAAGGATTTGGTAAGTAATAAACGTAATGTTGTTGGTTCGAAAGGTTAACATTGATTTTAGATCCCCAACCATCTGAGCATGCATCTCTACTGCCACACTGCGCTTTTCCCTCGCGAGTACTGGCCCCGAAGTATCCGAGCCAACGGTCATCTGATGCTCAACGGCGAGAAGATGAGCAAGAGTACCGGTAACTTCATGACTCTCCGCGATCTTACACAGAAGTATGGAGCGGATGCTTCTCGTATTGCGCTTGCTGATGCCGGTGACGGTGTCAATGACGCCAACTTTGAGGAAGATGTTGCCGATACCAACATCCTGCGACTGTACACTCTCAAGGAGTGGTGCGAGGAGATGGTCCAGGATCAAGACCAGCTTCGAACTGGCGAGTTCAACTCGTTCCAAGACGCTCTTTTCATCAACGACCTGAATGCTGTTACAAAGGAAGCTGTCGAGCAGTACGTCAACACCAACTACAAGCTGGCCCTCAAGGCTGGTCTATATGAGTTGACAAGCGCTCGTGATTTTTACCGTGAGGCCTGCGCAGCAGCCAATATCAAGATGCACAAGGATGTTGTTCTCCGATACATTGAGGTGCAGACTCTGTTGCTGGCTGTCTTTGCTCCTCACTGGTCCGAATACATCTGGCTCGAGGTGCTTAAGAAGGAGGGCACTATTCACAACGCTCGATTCCCTGAGATCCATGAGGTTGATGCTTCCCTATCGGCGAAGCGCGACTACGTGCGAAACACTGCTTCCAACATTAACTCGGCTGAGGGTCATCAGTTGAAGAAGAAGGCCAAGGGCAAGGAGACATCATTCGACCCCAAGAAGCCCAAGAAGCTCACGATCTTTGTCGCCGACAAGTTCCCCGCATGGCAGGCCAAGTACATTGACCTTCTTAAGGAGATGTGGAACACCGAGACCAAGTCAGTCAACGACAAGGAACTCAACGGCAAGATTGGCAAGATGGGAGAGATGAAGAAGGCCATGCCTTTTGTGCAGAACCTCAAGAGACGACTCCAGGCTGGCGAGCCGGCAAGCGCGGTGCTGGAGCAGAAGCTTGCTTTCGACGAGAAGGAGACTCTCCTGCAAATGGTTCCTGGACTGAAGCGAACTGGAGGCCTGGCTGTTTGCGAAGTGATCTCAGTAGAGCAGGGAACTCAAAAGGGCGTTTCTCTGACGGATGGCGATAAACAAGTTGAGATCTCAGCACCTGTTGCAGAGCACGCTGTCCCTGGCCAACCAACGTTCTACTTTGAGAACGTTGAGGCTTGAGTGTGGATACTTGTAACGAAAATAAAATATTTCCCTGCCGTTATGATTTGATGTTTAGACAAAGTACGTAGGGATGTACTCAGACCGACCGAGGAGGTTGCGCGTTCCTGCGTGGAATGTGGGTGCATGTGGATTAAGAGATCTTTGTTTGAGTTAAAAATGGAAAGGCTGCCGATCAGGTATACTAGAGAAGGCTTGTTTTCGTTATGCCCTGCCAGCCTGCCCAGTTTGTGACTACCATAGCATGGCATGACATGGACAATGCCCATGATGTGGAAGTGGACGTGTTCACAGATCTGCAATAAGTCCAATCCCACGTTCTATGATGCAGATTAAAAGTGAAGCCCAGGCTACCTCTGCTGCTCTGCTCTGCCTTGCAAAGTTCAGCTCGGGCCAGTCTGGTCTGCGGGCTGTGTTTAGGTGTGGTTGTCTACTTTTGCGTGTGCGTATGTGCATTGCCACTCCAATTATGGTCGCAGTCACCGTCAATAGTGACAAGATGGAAATAGAACCAACAGTGAGTGCACGATTCATTGATTGCCAAGTAATAAGCCAAGTCTTACTACAAAGTTCCAGAACTCTACGGGATCATGTATCGATTCAGTTTGCAAGGTTGAGGGAACCAAGCAGGGATGGGAAGGGAATTAGCATTAGCGAGGCGAAAGGAGACGAAGGCTGGGGCGAGGGAACGTCCTTTGATAGATTGATTTGTTTCATTGTAGGGATGAGGATGAAATTCTATTAAGATGAATCATTTTTTTAATGTAAGGACCTAGTTTATTTTTATTTTTATTTCCTTTCATCTTTTCTCCGGCGGGACAGGGGATGGAAATGGGCATGAAATTAATTTCAGCAAGAATATTTCCGTCTACATTCTAGTTCATCGGAGGTTCTGTAACAAACCCCTGGTAATAGATGGATGATGTCCCATCAAAGAAAGTGTCCGGGGCAATGAATTATCTAACAAGCAATAGGGGCCCCGAAAGCTTGATCATGCGAAAATATGGAGAGTTATCTGGGTCAGTAAAAAGGAGAGTGGGAGACCCTCACTGTATACTTAGAGTACCTACGGCTTGTTTACGCGTCCGCCTGTTGCGGTAATAATGATAGAGGCTAAAGAGGAACGGCAGAGAAGGGACAGGAGCCGGGAGGTCAATGAAGGGATTAGAACAGGACTGCAAAGCCGTGGAACCACTATAACAGCCCGGTTAAGCTAAGCTGCTAGGGAATGTATATTTACAAGGGTCCAAGTCAAGTCATGATGGAAGGGTTTTTGAGGTGATCGATCATGGTACGGGTAATAAGAGGCCCCCTTGTGGCTTATGTGTATGTGTTGTAATCAATAATTAATGCATGTGACAAGGAAACAACAAGTTGTTGATTGAGTGGCTGGGGATGATTGTTTTTTTATTCTCTCCTTTTCTCCTGTACTGTGTGCATCATGTATCATGTATCATATCCTGTCCTGCCATGGTCACAGCCTGGTCATGGCTGTTTTTATTTTGCTTGCGCGTCAGGAACCACAATAAAATTCCAACACAGATCTGCACTTTATTAGTCCGAGCCGCAAAAGAGATCCTGGGCCATGGCGTCCAATGAGAATGACTGCCGCTATTTGCGCATGAGTCTACAGTACCACAGCATCTCCAATTATCATCTTGGGGATATTTCTTAGTTCAGTTGGTGGTAATAACTAACTAATTATTGCTTACTATAGTATACTAGTGGTTAAAGATCCCCCCCCAACGTTTTATCCTTTTTTTAGATTGTATTCAAGGTTGGGCGAGCGTCCTTTTTTCTTTGCCTTGATCTGAATGCTTGCTTGCGCAATCTACCTCCACTATCCCCAAACAGACTAAAAAGACCAACCACTAAATATCTGTTACAGGTCCATATTAGCTCCCTTCTCCAAAGATCTACAACGATACAGTGTAAGTGGAATTTGGAGATATAGAGGCATATTATTTGGAAAACTTGGTTTGCTTATGACGCAACTTTTATTCTGTTGCTATTGAAACTGAAGCCTATCAAGAAAATCAACAGCTGAATGAATCCCTTGTCTATAACCGATAACTAACTGATAATGAATGATAACCATCGGGTCTGCAGCACTAAAGATAGCCCATCCTTCCATCGGGTTCCCGTCCGTAGTGGTGTGTACCCATCAAAAGCCATGTCAGGTCAGGTCAGGTCAAGCTTTCATTCTCCTGCATGTGGCGGCAGATGGACGCTGATCGATTGGTTGATCTAGCAACATAAATGTTGTCATGCATCAGCAAAAGTGGCTGGAGTTAGTTATCCCAACCGTTTTCTCGTTGAAGACCTGGCTCAGTGAATATTGAATTCGTACATGACCATAGCCGCGTCAACCCGTTTATGTTTACATAGTATTGTCCTTGTCCATCTGCTTGACTCAGTCGCCCTGCTTGCCCTGCCCTGCACTGTAGATTGCCTTGATTTTCGTCAATAAAAACGACAAAAGTTTAAAGAAAAAAGAGGTCAGAGTGGAGCCGTCAACTTTCTGTAACTGACGCACCGGATCAACTTCCTCGTTGAGGCCCATGACTTTTGTAGGGTGATATCGACATTATCCTGGCAGTGGAGTCGTTCCGTGCGACGCAAAGACAATGTGTATGTGGGCCTTTCTTTGAGCCTTGCTCGGGGCATGACCCATCACCCTATCCTACACTGTACAGCAATAGCAGGTTGGGATGATGCAACCGCCCCTGGGGCCTTGGTTGCTTGCGTACTACGTACATACTTACGGTACGGTACATGATACATTGCATTTCATTAATACACAAATTCACTGACAATCCTTGCGACCTCAATGGGTATATAGGAGTCGAAGCTCTCCTGTTCATCCAGTCCTTTCCTCATTCTCATCATCCACTCAACAACAACATCAATCGCTATATCAACACTCGTTTAAACAACTCCAATCTACTTCTCTTTCGACCTCTTTCTCAAACAAACCCCAATAAACCAAACCAACCTTCAAAATGCACGCCTCCGCTGCCGTCCTCGCCTTCGTCGCTGTTGCGGCTGCTGCCCAGACCCCTGTGGCTCCCGTTGCTACTCCCATCGCTACTCCCGGTGCCCGTTAGTCCACCCTTCCAACTCACGATAACTCTATTTCCATTTTATAAACTAACATCCTTCATCACAGCTACCAACGGTACTAAGCCCGGTCACGGCTCTGGCTCCGGTTCCGGTTCCGGCTCTGGTTCCGGCTCTGAGCCCTCCAACGGCGCCGGTGCCCTTGGCCTCAGCGGTCTCGCTGGTGCCCTCGCCGTTGCCCTTGCTCTGTAAATGTCTCTCAATGAGACTTTCGCAGAGTTGGTGGATATGAGGACCCTGTAACAGACAACCTTGCAGGGTTCTGGAGGAATCGTGCTGGTGCGCGTTTAACTTTCGATGGAGATAGATCGGGTTTTCGATTGTCCCGACTAGGATAGAATAGATCAATGGAGCGTGATCGCTTCAGCTATATTAATACTAATCGCATACCACCACTCAACTTTTCGTCTTGTGAAGCCTCTCTTTCGTGTTCTACCATGTTGTACCACCCTTCTCACTTGAGCCTCTACACCCTTGCTTATCTCTGGACGCTTACCCATAACCCTGAATTTGCAGGGCCGCAAAAATAATACCCGACCGGAGGATTCTGTTCCGCTCTGTTATGCTTGTCCAGATATCACTAGACTCCCGCCCCTTGGTACGGTTAGTCAGTCCCAAATATCTTTCCGGGACAATTGGACTTCGGCCATCACGAGTCGATACTGGCTCCTTGGCTCATGCGAATAACCAAGAAGTGAAATGTGCTTATCTTCCTTGGCTGGGACAAACTTGACATCCTTCCCGTTCCGTCACCCTGGCAAGTCGACTGATAGTGGTGGCTACACGAGACTGATACAACATATGCCGACCAGGATCAAATGCACTCTGACGGCTTCTTCCCGTCCCACTGAAGAAGGAATTTCTTTGTTCAAGTCAGGTCGAGGGCGTTACGAAAATGAAAGTTCCGATATTTCTTGTCGTGTCGCTTCGTGCCAGGTTTCACCGAATGGCTTGAGGAACTGATACGATTGTCGTAGTCGCGGCGCAGCACAAGTTTGCTGTACCATTTCTTCTCACATGGCAGCTGCAATTTGTATTATTTTTCTATCGTAATTTTCGGTTGACTCAGGCAGTAATGGGGACCTGCCCGCCTGAGGCGCCTGAAGTGGGAGGCTTTGGTAGATCGTCCTAGGAAATATTAGCTGAGGAAACATGGCACATGGTGCATGGCGCATATAACACACCAGGTCAAAGATAACTCGGATCATGAGACTGCAGCTGGGACAGACAGCGATGTCCTGCTCATCTAGCAAGTCCTCTAAGGTGATCTGAAACTTGTCGCCACAAGGGCAAGGGAACTGGTAAACTCCCATGGCCTCGTCAAAGGTCATGTCCTCGATCTCGACCTCATCGTAGATTGAAATACCCTCGTCGTCGGACATTTTGGCGGTTCGTTTGGATGTTAGATTCTGTTTGATTTGGTAACTTAAGTTAAGGATGCTGGATTTATCCACCCAAAGACTCATACATAAAAAAAAGTGCCCCGCGAATGCGACCAAAAATTCTATTAAAAGTGGCGTTCGCAAACAAGTATGGCTGGTGAGACTCATATGTGGCTGAGTCAAATGTTAATCACATGCCGAGTACTGCGGGAAAGTGTGGGGAGGCTTGCACTTGCCCCAGATTCATCGGCCGAGGAAGCTTTCTGTATGGGGAAACCGCATTTGATGATGGAGCTCACAAGACATTCTTATTCTTCTTAGCCATGTAGCGTAACAAGCTTACACCTTGCAACATCTCTTAACCTGTCCCCTTTCTTTTTCTCTTCTTAGATCATTTTCCAAGACACTTGTCTCTAACTGCGCTTTGTTCTGCCCAAAGTTCCTGTCTTTGCGATTTCCCCATGCGCTACAGTGTCTTTGACAGATCTGTGACGTGACGTCGATACACCTCGGCTCACCCTCAATCTCAACGTCTGCGCAACCGTGGACCGTCTTCGAGTCTCATCTAAGCAACGCTCCGTAGAAAAACACACCTTTTCAGTCTGATCACAGAGTCTCGAGACTCTTTGCGCGCCTATCATGGGCTCGCAATCGAAGCTCGCCTTGCCAGGCGATCGCACCCTCCGGAGCATCGTATCTCAGCTTACTGGTCTTTACGTCTCTAATCGCACACGTATCTCACGCGCAGTATGGATAACGTTGTTCGCTGCTCTAGTCAATCGAATTCGACTTGCGATTTCCGAGCAAAAGGCAGCATCGGTGCGCGAAGCTGCTCAACGCGCCGCTCGTCGCGGTACCACCTCAAGTGGAAGCGAAGAAACACCAAGAAAAAAGGTGGAATTAAATCGCGAGTTCTTCCGGTCACTTCTAAAACTACTCAAGATCGTTGTGCCAGGATGGCGCAGTAAAGAGTCAAGGCTGTTGATGAGCCACAGTTTCTTCTTGGTTCTCAGGACGCTCATTAGTGTGCGCGTAGCTGAGATGGATGGTGCTATAGTTAAGGCTCTGGTGAAGGGTAACGGGAAGGAATTTTTGAAACGTATAGTATGGTGGATGCTGATTGCGGTCCCCGCAACCTTCACCAACTCCATGGTCAGTCTGTTCGTGATGAGTGTCCCATTGTTTTTGCTAATGATATATGCAGCTATCATATCACCAAGCCGAGTTATCTCTGAAGTATCGATCACGGCTCACACAACATATTCACGACAAATATCTATCCAACCTGACCTTCTATGGCATTTCGGCTCTGGATGATCGAATAAAGAACCCCGATCAGTTGATTGCGGTTGATGTATCAAAGTTCTCTAATAGCCTTGCTGAGCTATACAGCAATTTAGCCAAACCTCTGTTAGATATGGTAAATTCGGTAAATTTCATCGTGTGTACGTATCACTGACTTTTTCTAGACTATATATACCTGGTCTTTATCCAAGAGCGTCGGTGGTGAAGGTGTCGTCTTCATGTCGCTTTTGGTACAGTTATCAGCCAATGTGATGAGAGCGTTGACTCCTCCGTTTGGAAAATTCGTTGCCGATGAAGCACGACTAGAAGGCGAGTTTCGTTTCCAACACTCTCGCCTCATCGATTATAGTGAGGAAATTGCCTTGTACGGTGGCCACAACGCCGAGAAAGACACGTTAGACAAGGGTTACTTTACTCTCATCAAACACGTCAACTACATCCTCCGGCGACGATTCTACCACGGATTTATGGAAGATTTCGTCATCAAGTACTTCTGGGGTGCTCTTGGTTTGATGCTTTGCAGTGTCCCTGTCTTTATTAAGATGCCTGGCCACATCGCAATGAATATGGGTGACCGAACAGAGGCCTTTGTTACAAACAGACGAATGCTTCTCTCCGCCTCCGACGCTTTTGGACGCATCATGTTCTCGTACAGGGAAGTGATGGAGTTGGCTGGTTACACATCGCGAGTCGCCACTCTTCTGGACGTGATGAGTGATGTCCAGGCCGGTCACTTTGAGAAGAAGCTCGTATCTTCTTCGGGTATCGAAGGTAACGAAGCCGTACTCAAAGGTCGTGGAACAGTACACGAGAGCAACGACATCACCTTTATTGATGTGTAAGTGCAAGACAAATATCTTATTCGCGAAACTAGAGCTAACCACATCACCTAACAGGCCTATCATATCTCCTAACGGAGACGTTCTGATCAAGGCCCTGTCATTTACTCTCAAACACGGCGACCACCTGCTTGTTGTTGGACCCAATGGCTGCGGCAAGTCATCCCTATTTCGCATTCTCGGTGGCCTTTGGCCTGTTTACGGAGGCACTGTCTACAAGCCTCCCTTTCACGCTATCTTTTACATCCCCCAGCGCCCATATCTTTCTCGAGGCTCTCTCCGCCAGCAAATTATCTATCCAGACTCGCTCCGCCAGATGCGTGCCCGCGGCATCACCGATGCAGACCTCCTTGAATACCTCAAAATTCTGGGCCTCGAACACCTTCCTGAATTATACGATGAAGGATGGGACGCCGAGGCTGAGTGGCGTGATGTCCTTTCAGGCGGGCTCCAGCAGCGTGTCGCAATGGCGCGTCTCTTTTACCACCGACCAAAGTACGCCATCCTCGACGAATGTACCAGCAGTGTCACCCTCGAAACGGAAAAGGCAATGTATGATACAGCAAAGTCACTGGGAGTTACTCTCATGACGGTCAGCCATCGCCGAAGTCTATGGAAATACCATTCCCACATTCTTCAATTCGATGGCCAAGGCAATTATGTGTTTACCAAGCTTGACGCTGATCGACGTCTCAAACTTGAAGATGAGAAGGAGGACCTCGAGGTCCGGCTACGTCAGGTCCCGGAGCTAGAGCGTCGCATTGCTGAATTAACAGCAGCTTAGGGGTCCATCTCATTTATGTCGAGGGGTGTTGTAACGAAAGTCCTGTTGAATACCCAGGGTTGAATTTTGGATGAAGCAGTGTCTTGGTCGGATGTTTAGGTGTTGGCATACACTCAATCTCGGAGTATCAATGTGTTGCATATCATATACGGTGTCACCAACCAATATTATTCTCTCATAGACGGTGCTATGACGTTGCGTAGAAATTGAGCCTATTGAACTTCAACATCTAAGAGCCGACAGGCCTTCTGTTCGAGCTCATTACAGAACTGTATTGTCCAAGCTAGCCTCACATCCTTCCTGCATCATACCCATCTTGTCATATGTCAATCCATTGCTCTATGCTGGAAGATTATCGGGATGGTGGGGACATGTCTTCTTGTGTATACTATTGTCACCACGCATGATGTCTCGGTGATTTGCACCACATTCGAAGCAGAACTCGTGCTTGCACCTAAAACCTGTGACCCAAATGAGTCAGTATTGAGTCAAATATCTCTTTTGTGCCAAGTCCGCGGCTTCACAACTGAGCCACTTCAGCCTCGGCAATAATTGTTGTGTCCTCGAGTGTATGGCTGATCACAGGCCCAGCAAAACTCATGACGGCATTTGATGCCTAGTACAATAACTCTTAGTATCATAATGGGATAGTTGTCAAATTCCTTGTCAGGAAGTACCATCGATGGCAGTATAGACATAGAAATGCAGGTGTATGGCAAGACATAAACACAAGAAGGGTATGGGGACTTACATGTCATGTGTGAGCTATTTGTATGTTAGTATCAATCAGAAATGGAAGTGATGGGAGTCTGATTCTTACCAGCCTTTGTTCTTTTCAATCGCCCATCCGCATCCTGCACAGGGCTTGGTGGTACGGCTAAGAGTTGCATTGCTCTGTGCCTCTTCTTTCTTTCTTCTGGTTGCAATTTGACGGGCGAGTTTTGCAGCCTTTTGAGCTTGCTCCCTCTCCTGACGAGCCCGGTCTTCCCGTCGCCTCATCTCAGCCCGGTCTTCACTCAGGAGATTTTGAGCCATGGATCTGTCGGCATCCAGTTGGGCCAGTTGGGCCTGCTGTGCCTCTGACCACTTTTCATTCTCTAGTTCAAGGTGGGAGCGAAAGTTCTCCGGATCAGCCAACAATTTGTCGTATTCGTCGCAAGAGAGGGTCTCATGCCAAGCGACATTGTGGTGGAAACAAGAACGATGGTTGCAGTGGAGGCAAGTCACAATGGGTTGAGCTGACCCAGACTCATGAATCTGTCCTGAACCACACCCAGAGGTACACCAGACAAAGTTGTCGGCCTCCGACATAGCTGCCCGCAGTGCGATGGTCTCGTATCTAATCCTTGTCAGTTTCGAATAAGTTTGTATGAATGTCATAACCGTACTTTGTGAATGTCTGTTTGTTGGCATAACGTTGAATGTCGGCGTACTCTAGTAGCTCCCGACATTCAGGGCATCTGATCTCAGTCCAGAGCTTACTATTCAGGTCCGATTCTATCGATAGCTGAATGCAGTCGAGGCATGTACTTGGAGGATGTGTGCATGTTGCCGCGATGGAGAAACGTGGGAAAGCATCCACATGTTTGGTATCCGCACACACTACACAATCTAGGTCACCCGTAACAGTACTTCTGGCGGTACGCTGGCGTGTGACAATTACATCAGTTGATTCTGCAGATTGCTGATATCGTTGTCCAAAACTGTTTTGCCGAGGCAGTCAGTGCGCGTTCGCGGAAGTGAAGAAATGCACGGAGGTCCCCCATGATATATGAGCCTCAAAAGATGGCGTCCCTAATAGCATGCAACATGAAGATCGTTGAGAGCGAAAAATATGAATAGGAGCAAGAAACACATACCGGAATTCATTAGCTGTGTCGGACTCGAGCTGCTCTAGTTGGAGAAGATACGCTATTGTCATATCATTATCTTGCTGCTCAAATAAATTAACATAGGGGTTAGTGGAGGACGAGGGCCCGGCGGTAGCTGTAGTAGTTCGAGAGCGTTCGTTGGGTAATCCAGTGTGGTCTCTAGCATCAAAGGGCTCTGTATCAAAATCCTCGACACCAAGAGCTGTTAGGTCGAGGATCGATGCTGAAATAGGAGCGTAGCCCCGTTGTGATGTCAATTCTCCATTTTGATTAGAAGTGGCCCCACTGGTCGTGACTATACCAGGGGGTGGACCGAAAAGTAAGTCGTCGTCATTGTCTAAGAACGAAGGTCTTTGATAGTGAAAGGCTGGCTGGGCAGAAGGTGCGGATTCGGGAGTAGCACCTGGTTGCTGTAGGTGTGCTTGGGAGTTGTGTGATGAGGGAGAACCAGAAGACCCGAAAGCCAACTGGGAGGTAGATTCTGTTGGAGCGAGGTGGGTTTGACTGTTGCGGTGTTGCTGTTGCTCTTGGTCCGTTTCCTCATCATCTACAAGCCAGATGGATTCGTCGTCGTCTCCAAAACCTCCCATGATATCTGGGTTTACCCGTCCATAGATACCGGCCTGTCTGGCAAACATGTTGTTCTTGAGAGGATTCGCGTCTGTGTAAGGAACGTATCTCAAGGTATAAGGGTCTGGTTCTGGATCAAGGGGGTCTTCTATATGCCCCTGGGCTGTGGGATGATCTTGGCTGTGCTGGTAATTCGATAGGGTCGACACAGTAGAAGGGACAGATGTTGGCGGTAGAGGATAGGAGGGTTGCCGTCGAGGTTGCTGCTCATGTTCAAGATCCGTCGAGATTGTTGAGGGGACAGAATTGGGCGGTAGAGGATAGGGATTGTCTTGATATGGAGGCGGATTCCCTGTAGTGCGATTGTTGTTGATGTTGTTATGAACAATGACAGCCTCTGCGTCAACTTCAGATTCAGCGAGGGCGCTGCTAGAAGTCTGGAGCTCGGGAGGTGGAGTTGAAATTGTTCTCGACGCCTTCCTCTTCTGCCAAACGTTGGATGCTTTGTTTTTGAGAGAACGCAGCATCGCTCTGCAAGGTAAGAGCGCAATGGTGATTAGGGCAAGTAACAAACTTCAATTTGGGCAGGTGAAGTAGCACTGTCAAAGTTTTGATTTATAGGTACCTGTCTTGGTAAGTTTAGAGGAAGAAGTTAAATGCTGTGCATGACAGGTAGGTCGTACTCATTCATTTGTTACTGCAACATTCTTGGTAAACCTTGAATAAAGACTGACCGAATTTAGATTCTCATCTCATGTGAATATCAACAAAGCCTGCTGCCTGAGGTACTTCTGCTTGCACCGTCGCTTGTAGGTCAGTTTCAGGCTGCCCATTCCAGTCGAGTCGCTTTAAGTACCTATCTTGTAGCGTAACATCTCTGACTTGGACCTGAAGCTATACCTGTCGTATCTCACTGGGCTGGGCTGGGCTGGGCTGGGCTGAACTGGAAGGCTTTCAGGTGATTGCATATACTAAGTAAGGTATGAGCCGACCCCCATCGTTGGTACTTATGCCCACCTTTTGGAGCTACTCGCCCGATTAGAGTGTTCATTCAAGGTTGAATTGAAGTCTTAGTGGGGTCCTGTCCTCGGTAGTGCCCCACCCCCGCTTCTAGGTCAAGCTGTCGAGGCTCTCTCGCATAGGCGTACCCCTAGGGTATCAGTAACTGCTCGATAGCCACTTACACCGAGAGACATGGACATGCATTATCAAGGGTAGTAGGTATACCTAGAATCCTCAGTAGAACAGAAAAGGACGCTGGATACTAATTCGAAAAAACGGGAGCCGCAATACCCCGGAGTATTCCGCCTATCTCCATTTTGTGTATATCAAGGGCATGCTTAATGTCGCTAAGGTCCTAATTAGGCTTATGCTACGCAGCTATAACAGATAAAATTCCAGCATTATCTAATATAATTTGCAAGTATAATAGATAAAAGAAGATATAGAGGGTGTCAAGGTGTGGTGTGGTGTGGTGGATTAAATGTTGGCGGGGCAGCGATCAGATTCTTTTGGACACTAATTTTACCTAGGTAGGTACTAAGGTAATTAATTGTACGTTTCTTGCTTGCTCTCAGCCAAGTTACCCAGATATCGAAGTTACATATTCATTTCCCTTTAATGCAAAGATTGCATAACCACATCTTTCACTTCCTAAGTACCAGAATATCAAAGTATTATCCACGCTGGATCTGTTGAACTAGAGCTACCCTGTACAAGGCGGTTAGCAGCCGGTTTTGGCCAAAGGAACCTCTGATTGGTAAAAGCCAAGTCAAATGAATAAGAAGAAGCCTAATTAAGAATAGCGCAATGCATTCACCTAAAAAGAGGGGAAATTGCAAAGCCGCAGGACAACAAAAGATAGAACACAATCAGAATACATATCAATTTCGACATACGGGTTCAACAGGATCCGTGTAAACCATTAGACATACTCGCACGTCACTGTGTTGTATCGCTGGCCTGTAGCATGAATTAGTAAGACACAATGACAAACATGCTTCTTGTATCAAGTAAAACTCACCGTTGTAAAGTAGAGTATAGGTAGTAGATGCCGAGAGATAGACTGCCTCTATTTTGCAGTTCAATTCGTAGTACCATTGCCCGTCTGAGCCTTGGCGACGAGAAAGCTGGTCTTCCGGAATATGGCTGACATCGGCCTCAACGTGTGAGAGGATCTTCACATTGTCATCGCGAGCCACCGGTGCATCTCGAGGCAACTGGTCGTTGTAGATTGTCATTTTGATCTTACGGATGCGACCACTGCTGACAGGACCTGTCCAGACAAAGGATGTGAAATAAGGCTCGTTCTCCGACACCTCCGAACCCTGAAAAATGTTAGAATCTCCCGAGTATAATTGACCCTCTAGTGGGTAGCAGAAAAGTTGGCCTCCTAAGTCTTAGGGTATGAAAATAAGTAGCCTAAGGACTATAGCCTAAGGAGCATAAAGTGACCTGCTAATTTCGTCTCTTATGCTTCCAGCGGCCAACTTTTCTGGTACCCTGATGACCATAAAGACTCACCCTAGTAATAAACCACTCCATTGCAAGGACTTTATAGCAGCCATCCAGGCCGCACCACGTTCTGTTGCTCTTGAGGTGGCTGTGCATCTTGTCGTCCCATCGAGCGCGCCACTCCGTGCCGTAGTGCTTTCGAGCCTTGCGGTTCTTCACTCTGACTACAGCAAGTTCCGGCGCGGCATTGGCGAGCCCCTTGAGAACAGCGCCTTGGACAATAGCCTGCCATGCGTTGGGTGGCTGCATAATCTGGATGGAATTGTCGACGGAAATCCTCAGTCGCTCTTTGAGGTAGCTTGAAGCTCCAAAACCACCGACCAGAAGGATGGCGCGGACAGGCACGTTACTAGCCGTGATCTGGTCCTTGACCAACCTGATAACCTCAAGCACGACAGGCTCGAAGATGGTCTTGAGATCTGATGCTTTCAAAGCGAAGCGTCCTCGGCTGATACCGAGAGTCTTGTTGTTGGTCAAACCTGCCACGGGGATGTTGTAGGTTTCGTCGGGCGCAGTGTTCAAGGTGAACTGACGTTTGACCTTCTTCTCAAACACCTCCATGGCTTCGGCCATAACTTCTTCGTCAAAGCCTTCCTCTTTGCCCAGCTTACCTCGAAGATACTTCGCAAAGCGCATGTTGAGGAATGTAGAGCCACAGAGAGCTCCCGAACCAGGAGCCGCTTCTTGAACTTCTAGAATGGGCTTGAGGCCAGTGATAGTGTATGATATCAAGTCGACTGTGCCACCTCCGGCGTCGACCACGACGATGGTATCACCAACTTTCAGTCCATGGGGGTCAAGTCCATGCAAAGCATAAATCGCAGCGGCCTCAGGCTCGGAGACAAGGTGAACCTGCTGCTGTGACGCCGAAAGGCCCGAAGCCTTTTGGCATGCCTTCTTTGTCTTGTCCTTGGCTAGATCGCTCCAAATAGCTGGGACGGTGACGACGAATTCGAGAGGGGTGCTGTTCACGATGCTGTCGCCTAGCTTCTCGCGCAGAGTATACAACAGATGGTCACCAAGCTGCGAAATAAAGTCGGTGACAAGCTTGTCTACATTTCGGCCGCCTCGTGCACCATTGGAGCTCAAAGATTGACTCATTGCTTGTAGATCAGGATCGAGGTCTCTTCAAGGCAACAGTTAGTTGGGTATTTGCGTCAAGACTGCAGAAATACTCACAGCTTGAACCATTCAATAACTTCATCTTGGGGTGCAGTGATAGGGATGGAGAAACCCCATTCGATCTTGTCTCCATTGTATCGAAGTTTTGAAGGGACCTTGTCGCTAGATTCTCCTTCTCTGTTGGAACTTGACACGGGCCATTGTGTGATGCAAGTTCGTCTCGTTGGATTGCGACTTTCGGCCCAGGCGACTCCAGAATAGGTCGTGCCAAAATCGATTCCAACAATGATCTTCCGATCAGTAATCTTGAGCTTGTCGAAATCCATGTTGGCTTGTTGGTATACGAGCTGCGAATTTAGATATGAAGGCGAAAGGTCTGGTTGGATGCCAAATCTCTGTAAGTCTCCTTCGACGAGTCGAGTAGTTTGGGAATGCTGCTCTAAATGGGAGGTATATGTCTTCTAGAGCTAAATACCGGCCGTTTGTGTGACACGCAGCGACTGACGAGTATTAAAAGAAAGAAATAGTATCATGTGAGGGATGAAAGCCTTAAGACTACAATGGTTTGGTAGAAGAGTAGCCTAAATGTTTGACAGGCGAGTTAAGTGAAGGGATGGAAGAAAGGCCGGTCCTCCATAGCTCTGTTTTCTTACTTTGGACGAATACTGTAGGATGGATTGAGTTATAGACCTACACCCTAACTTTGCAGTATTATCTAACCACTTTCCTATTCCCTGATGAGGGGTTTGTTAGGTGTTGAATGCAGTAAGCCCTTTTCTAGACTATTATTCGTTTTTTTTGTGTTTTTTTTTTGTTTTTTTGTTTTGTTTTGCCCAGAAGAATTCTGCCTTGCGTAGAAGTCTACAAGGCTCTACTTCTGTTAAACTTACTGACCAGGCGTGCCCAAGGTCAGGTCGCCCGAGGTTAGCTCAAACCGGGCACTAGTCCAAGCGACTGCGGGTGCGGCTGAGGTCATGAAGGGTCCAAATTAGTACCTAGCTATTGCGGGGGATTGAACGCCCTGCAGCGCAAAGTACCTATGAGGGTGCGTCGATCAACGGGGTTCATTGTAGAGGCTTTTTGGACGACCCATCTTGAGACTCGGCTTGATGTGAGAGCCCAGACGACTCGTGATGAATCAAATTAAACAGATACCTATATGCCCTTTACCTTGTACAGCCAGCAAACTCATTATGCATTTTTGTATTTATGATATTTGACGAATCCTAATTGCGCGAGCTATCAGGCTATAGATAAACTTGGCAAGGTCTTGATTTCTGCTTCGCCCAATCCATGAATACACCTTAAAGAATATCATCTGACTTATCTAAAATAGAGACAAACAAGATAACGGAATGTATACTTAGTCTGTACAGCCTCTGGTTATACCTAGAGTGCCCTACCTGAAACTAAGTAGAAGTAGGCAGCCATTTACAGGGCATTTCGTGTCAAGCCAATGAGTAGGTCGATGCAGTCTGCCTCTGATACCGGCACCCCCTCCCTTCCTTCCGTGCTATTGCACAATGCAATCAGCCTCTTCTTTACTTGGAATGCCTATAGACAACTCACATCACCATTTCAGCCATTCTGCCCATTCTAGGTTGATCCGTTGTCTGTCAAGCTGCAGGTATCCGACAGACGAAACGTTTCGCCTTCCATTCTACATCTTTGTCTACGCTGCATTCTTATTGCAGCACTGCATCATACTTCACTCGGGCCATTGCACTCATCTTTAGTCCATCAGTCGTCATTCATCAGATCGGTAAAATAGTGACATTGTCCTACTATCCAACTGTCTTCCCCTGCGTCGTCTTGTCTCGGCCACCAAACCTACCTATCTCTGGCCAGTCTCTCAACAATGGCCCCTCCTTCCGTCCCTCCAAAAGAGCCCATTGAAGAGGTCAAGCCAGTCTCTGGTACCCCAAACAGGACAAAAGAAGAGCCGCGCACCAAGAGCCACTCTGGTTCTACGCCGGGTCAGAAAGAAAGCAAGCGAGAAGGTCAGGAAATTTCACGTTCCCCTGAGAAGCGGCTCCATAAGACATCGTCCGCAAACCCAAAAATGCTTGACAGTTTAGAAAACGGTGACTGGGTTGAGATACCATCCGGAGAACGGGTTCAAGAGTCAAATGTGCAAACCCAGTCAGCCTTGCACGATCTGATGGAGCTGGACAGCTCTCCCGCTGCTGAACAAGCTTTCAGCCATGACAGTGTCTCGCAGCCGTCAACAATGCTAAAGGCTGATTTAGCACACTCCACTGAATTTCAGTCGCTCGAGGAGCTTGCCGGTTTCGAAAACAACAACACAGCCGACTGCAACAAGAAGCTGCGTGAACAAAACTGCCAACTTGACTGCCGCATCAAGGACCTTCAGAGACAACTATCTGCGCTCACCACGGACAAACAAATCGCAGAAGAAAAGTCAGACATGCTATCAGAGAAATTAAACAGCTTGAAGCAAAGAATGAGTTCCAACATGACAGAGGTGGAGATCAGCAGTGAGGCGTTGGCAGACAAGGTAGAAGAGCTAGGGAAAGAGAATCGTGCGCTCAGGGAACAACTCAACGACGCACAGTCTCACATTTTTAGCCTTCAGCCCTACCGTAAGGAACTGACCTCGGAAGAGGTTGGACAGGTACGTTACTCCTCCTCTCTTTCTCACGTGTACATTCTATACATGCTTGCTGATTTCTGGACCCTAGGAGTACGATGCTCTCGTCGAACAAGTTCAGGACTGGGTTCAAAAGTTCATGGATCCGTGGTTGGACGATCATCAAGAAGGAGTTGATGCCCTCCTCAGTAATGCCAAGAGGCGAGCAGTAGATGCTACCAGATTTAAACACCTCTTGTACCAGTACCCCGATCTGATCCATGGCTCAAGCTTCCCAGAAACCGACGAGGATATCATCACATCTGTGATCATGAGATATCTGCACGACCACATCTTTCAGACTGTTCTGTATGGCATGATTGCCCGTTACGTCGAAGTCATAAGCTTCATCGAGAAGGAAATGCAAATGTCGGTCGAGCCCAAGAGAGGTATGTTCACATTGATAAACAAAATTCACTCACCATACTTGAAAACCCGGCTGACTCGCACAAAGATCTTTTCTCTGTGAGAACATGGACTGCTGAAGCGTATAACGCCCTTCTCAGTTCTCCCCAATTCAAGGCGGTTCGTAACGAACGACGCGAGGCCATGACACGCGAACTCGCAAACATACTCAAAATATTCTTTAAGAAGGATCAGTTCAACTGGTTCTGCCAGAATACGTGTCAACGAGTCGTCGCGCCCGCAATGAAACTCTACGAGAAGCTACAAATTTCAACCAACCACTTTTACCTTGACATCAATTCCTTTATCGTCAGAGCTGGAGGTCAGCTTACCACATCTACTGATTTTATCGACACACTCGAGAATCTCGACTGCAAGAACGTGCTGCAGAACCGAAAGACATTCAACTTGGGAAAACTTGACCCGCCACCATCCAAGAAGGAGCTTTACCACCATTTGCACAACGTCTGCACTGTGGTACCGGCCTTGTACATGAGACAGATTGGACAGCGAGATGCTATCAAGGATCCCATCGTGGTTCGGAAGCAGCAGATGCTGGTTGCATGGGGACCAGAGGAGAAACGCAATGCGTACCAAGAGAACGGCGATCGAACGCTCGTGTCGCATTTGTACGGCTTCAAGGGCACTGGAGAAGGGTGGACATCCTTCCTGAGGTGATGAATACAAATAGCAGGCAACTTGATGACAATGCTTTAGGGAAGGGGAATGTTCACAGATCATGAACGACGGTTGCATAGCGACGGGCCATGATCCTATTGTCTTCCTGTTATGAACACGAACGCGTGACGATCACAACGAGATGTCGATTTGACCAATGCTCATGATGTCTCGTACTACCTTTACATAGTATAATCGCCGATGGCAGTATCCCATCACTACAGCATAAGATTAGATTATAAATGCCGGTGCCTCGAAAGACACTCAACATAAATTGTACCGTGCTTGAAGCACACACACAATATCCCTATGGCCACAACTAGGCATACACAGCATCCCAGGTATCCAGAACACCAAGCTACATGATAAAAAGGGGGTAAAATAAATGGAACGAATGCAAAATTTCGTTCAAGAGACAAAAGAATGAGCATCAACGAGAAATAGAAACGAAACAATAGGCAATAAAGAAATAAAAGCCCAGCCCTTCTTTAATCGTCAAGAGGGTGGCGAGGTATAGCACACTGTATATCCATTCATCCCATTCTCCTACTTCCGCACCTCATCTCTGTTTCCCCAAGGTGGTCCAACCCTGGCTCCTCTAGTTGTGAATACATGACTCCTTTCTCTCTGTTTCCCATTTAGGCCGGAAGCCTTTTTATAGTTGAAATTAGAAAGACAAAGGAAGTATAAGATGAACCTGTCTAGGTTTGTTCATGCCACTGTCTCATTTCAGTGGTTGCAAATACTCGTCTTCTCGGCGTCGAGATGCCTTTTCGTCAAAGCCAACACTGCGTCGGCCAAAATAAGCCCGGAAGTAGTTCTACTCCTCGTCCAGGCTTCCCATCATGCCATTGCCTTTGCCTTTGCGGCCCAGCTTGAGCATGCTGAATCTCTTGCGGACGCTGCCCTTCCTGCTGACAAGTTTGTTCTCGGTGGGCTTGTCGTTGTTATTATTATTATTGTCGCCACCTCCGAATTGCTGGTCGAGACTTCCGCGACCGCTGAGGCCTCCAGGGGATTCAGGGTGTTTCTCGTCTTGGGACGGCGCACGGAAGAAGCTGTGTCGGCGGCCCTGCTCTTTACTTTGGCCTTGACTTAGAGAGCGACTGAGGTTGCTTGCGGTCTCGATGTCTCCATTTGCTTCCTCAGGCTCGGTTGGCAACTCGGGTTCCTTCTTCTTGCTACCGCCGAGGAAGCTTAGTCGCGTGCCTCGCTTCGAAACCGGTCTAATCACTGAAGCCTCTTCTGTGGTGACGCCGTTGACGGCGATGCCAGCGTTCTTGTTCTTGGGGCTTGCTGAAGAGGAACGAGATGACCGTTTCCAAGTTGGTGAAGGAGTTGCAACAAGCTCGCGCTGTGGTTGAGGAGGAGTAAAGTGTGCGATTTCTGGCGCGAATGTGCTCTCAAAACCTGTGTGGATCAGTAAGATGGACCGGGCTTCTTTCGGATCTTGACTTACATCTATGAAGCTCGTCGTGTTTCTGGCTGAGGAGCTCATTGGAACTTCGAGAGAACATGGCCAGACACCTCTTGATCATAATAGCATGATCGACAAGTGCCATTTTAATCGCGCTATCTTGGGGAGTCAGTTCTATCTCCGCCACTTCCTCTTCCTCCTCTTCCTCGGCATCTTCATCGGCCGCCTTGGGTTCTGGCAGCAATTGTCGGTAACAAGCGACGCTATTCTCAGAGATAGGGTTCACTGATACGCTGACTGCGTCGAGGAGCAGCTGCGCATGGTCTCCGTTACCGTCGGCTACTCGATGTTCGAGGGCGGTCATCTCTTGGGTCTTGCGAACAATGCGTTCCAGGGCTGTTTCGTGAGCACTGAGACTAATCTCTTGGGTATCAACGACTTCGCTACGACGAAGAATCGTAGGGAAGGCATCGGCAGTCGTAAACACCAACTTCTCGGCAGAGTGCTCCTTGACAGGGCCGGTTGTGTTACGCCGTATGGAGATGGAAAAGGTCTGAGGGTGAGAGGAGAGAAGGAAATCTCGAATCACTTGTGGAACTCGTGCGCGTTGGAAGACTTGGTGGCTTAGATCACGGTGAGGCGTGACAGCCGAGACAACCAGAAATTGGCCCTCGACATCGTCAACGTCTCCCCCAGTGACAATCTGAGCAGCTGGATGCTGCTCCTGCATACGATCTGTAAAGGCTGAGGCGCGTTCGCTAGGAGATCCTTCGTATATGAACTCTTTATCTCGGAGGTTTGCATGAAACCCAAGTCCCTTGTAGACAACCTTGAAATATTTGGGAATAATCTTGTCGCTCTTTGAGATGGTCTCGTAAATCGTTGCGATTGCCCGCTCGGCCCTGGCAAGCTTGGAGAAATCAAAGATATTGCTCTCGTATTGCGCCTGTAGTTCCTTGTAGGCTGCCAAAGCGTGGCTCCACGAATCTCCATCTTCGAAATACTTGATCATATCGAAGTATAGCCGTTCCTTTCGCTCAAACTGTGTCTGCGCTGGGAAGTCTGGGTCTGGGAGAGCGGGTGTTTGGCTAGTCGGGTCCCATTCGTATAGGTCAGCATGAAGTCGTAGAGCCAGGCCTGCTTCGGTGTAGTTTCGCGATTCGGCTTGCAGATCTGCAAGTTGGTGTACGTAACGAACAAAGATTTCCTCCTTCTGCATATCGCGGAGGAATTCCATGAGTCTGAGACGATTGATGAGGTTCGAGGCTTCGCCCGTATCATCGCTGCTGTGTACAGCGACAAGAAGATCGAGGAATTCGTCAATGGTGCCGACAAATTCACGTATAGCAGTGTATAATGGCTCGTCAGGTATATCTGCCAGGGGCTCGAACCGTTCAAGAAGTTCGTGAATGAACAACTTTTGAAGGATACTCTCAGTTAATGGCTTCTCCTTGAAGAACAAATCCAAACGATCAATCGTCTCTGTTTGAATAATTGATAGGTCTTCACTCAGAGTCCATTCGCTGACAATCATTGTTTGCAGCACCTCAACCGCCATGCGTCGAAGACCCTCGTGCACGCTAAGACATAACTCCACAATTGGGCCAACAAGTGCAGGAACATATTGCACCTGGTAGCCTCCCATCTTTGAAAGATTGTACCGGTTCTGTTCGTCGGATGTAGTCTCCCATCCGATAGCCTCCCACGTTTGGCGCAGGAGCTCAGCACCATGTTCTCGGACATCACCCGCAATCTTCCATACTGCTCTTCGTTTCTGTTCTGGGAAAGTTTCCAATGCAAGAGACGTGCTGCCCACCAGCTTGAGAAGGGTCGTGAAGAAGAGCTTCCATAGTTCAGTATTAAAAGTCTCTGCTTCCTCTGGATCAGGGAGGAATGATTCCAGCATAGTACCAGCAAGATACTCAAGTGTCCGCATAGTCGATTTGTGATGATGGATGTGCACACTCAACCATTCTAGGGGATATGCCTCTCCCTTGAGAATGCTCATGTGTACTCTAAGCAGATTTTCTAGTAAAGTGGTCAAGTCGTCCTCGGCAAGCTCAAGTTGCATGCCTGAGGGTGAATTAGATATCGAAGACAAAATAGCAGAAAGCTCGACCAAGGCTTCGTCGAATTGAAGGTCGTCATTAACAGGCTTAGTTGGGAAAGGGTATGATGATGGGAAAAGAAGAGAAAGTCGATCCTTTGGTTTGCAAGGAGCCGCAAGGATCGCCAAGTAGGAATCAATTATTTTAGGAATGTGGTCGGGAATCTCGGAGCCAAGGTAATCAATCTGACTGGCCAGGACAGAGCAACATAGACGGATTTGGTCTCTCCATTGATCTGTCATCTCTCCTGTGTGACCCCAGTGAGGAGTAATCCATCTCACGGTGTTGGTGCTCAAGGCTAATTTCTGGTCGGGGTGGGCGAACAGGTCTAGCTTGCTGTAATTGATAATCAGTACAAGCTTATAAAGAATGAGCTTGCCTTTGACATCAGTGCATGAGTCCATGAAGTCAATCGCGATATGCAGGATTTCCTCCGTGTTTAGCAGACCAGCAAGCTCTGGTAACCACTGATGAAAATGCTGAACAGCGAGAGTCTGTGTTCCAACAAGTGCAGGGGCAGAGTTGCGCATCATCGCGTCAAGAGCCTTAAAAATGGCACGGAGCTCGCGTGTAAACCCCGTTGTGTTGGAGGTGATGCCAATGCCAGCTTCCTTTTCTTTTTGTTGATTTCTTGCATGAGTGATGAATTTAAGGATGTGCCTGACAACCTTGAATGTAGCACGCAGCTTCCGGGCGGTCTCGGGTTCAGTAGGGTTCTGAAGAAGTCGAGTGAACGACCGCATCAAACATGGCGTTGAAAAGGGGTAGTTGAACAGATTCTCGGCATACTGATCGACCAAAGGTCCTAAGTTGAATCTTCGGTCGTGGACAATGCCCAAAACTCTGACCAGAGCAGTGAACACAAGATCCTCAAATTCGTGACTGCCCGAGTATTCCACGAGGATTCCAAACAGGCCGTCCAATACATCATTGAGCAGCTTGACCACCTCGATCTCAGGTACAAAAATGAGCTGCTTAAGCACACCAGGAACCTCCTCTCGCTGAAGATCTCTCCATTTCAAAAGTCCAAGTATTACCCTGTCCTGTGAGAATCGAGTGCTACAGAGGTATGTGTCGGTACGGAGAACAGCAAGAGGGCCGTTGTCATCAGCTGCGTGGTCATCCTTGCCTTGGGGGCTCCACAAGAGCGATAGATATCCACCCTTTCCGGTTGGCCCAGGCTGTGCGGTCGAGGTGTGCTCATCTATCTTATAGAGCAGCAGACCATGTCGACCGTCACGTATGAACGCCCCCTGGTCCCACAATGGTATGTGAGCAATGGCGAATGGAGGGTTAGGCATATCAGACACAAACATGACGATATGAGCTTGTGACACGTCATTAGGAGCCAAAGAAAGACGCAGTGTTTGGTTCCAGGGCTCCCCTCTTTCTGCGGCTATCGATTTAAAGGTGCTTAACGGCTCTGTATTTGAGGAAGCGAATATGCAGTTATCGATTCGCTCTCCAGAGGTCTT